TGATAGTATTAGCTATTTATAAAATAATGTTTGGTTAAACAGATGGTGACAATCGGCTGATAATTTGTTAAATTACTTTAAAAGGCATCGATTTAATTTGTTTTATTTGTTAACTACTTGTCTACTTTTATACTCCATATATACGTTTAACCCATTTTATTTTTTTAACCGGGGAAGGCAAACTACCAAAATTAGTGGGGTAAATGTCGGAGAGCATTTATCAATGTTTTATTAAAAAAATTAAAGGTGAGAGTACAGGAGAAGTGGGGGACTAGACTTGAACCACTTCTAAGAGGCATCCCCTCTAAAGCAAAACAAAATGCACAAAGTAAAAAAAGGAAAATGGGGGGCTATACCTGACCCGATCTCTGAAGCAAACGAAACGATAAAACATAAAGGAAATTAAATAAAACGAAAGCTAGGAAGACCGAAATAATCTGCATATATAGTAAGCCTGCCTTACGGGGCCTGGAAGATCACTAGCCCGAAGAAAAATATGCCACTGAGTCCCATTTTTGCTTATATTATTAATACTACTATTGGTTCCAACATTAATATTAAAATAAAATTTTATTGATACGAATAACGATTGCTTCATGCCTTCATTCATAGGATACAAAATTTAATCACTTATTGTACAAAACAAAAGAAGCCACCTAGCTAGCTCGATGACTTGATCGTCAAGCACGAAATTTAATTTGTAGAGGAGAATCCGACCAAGTACGAGCAGAAAGACTATTTTGAAGAAATAAGAGTGACTACTTAATTTTTCCACAATAATAAGCAACTGTATTAATTAAATTCAAGTAAGGTTTAGGAAGGAATACATGGAGGGGTGGGGGTGGGAGCAATTCAAAAGCTAGCCATGCCATGGAATGGTATGGCAACCAAGTACAGAGGAAAGTGAAAACGGAATAGCCGCAGACTACTAATTAGGGGGTGTTTTGGAACTGATTCTGCTTCTGCATCTTTTTTAAAAGCAGAAGCAGAATCAGAATCAGTTTTTAGAAGCTGGCACCCCCCGCTTCTAAAAAAACTGATTCTGAGAGTAAATTAGAGCTCCAGAAGTGCTTCTGGAATTTCACCCAAACACTCCAGCTTCTGCTTCTGCTCCTTCTGCTCCTTGAAGGAGCAGAAGCAGTTTTGAGAATCAGATCCAAACACCCTCTTAATCAATTAATTAATTCTCACGATATATGTGATGTAATAAATAATAAATAACTAATGTAGTACGGTAAGTAATTTTTTTAAGATAATTTGTATAGGAATAGGTTGTGACAAGGCTTATTATTGTTAGGGTTGTGTGAGTTTGCGCTTGGTAAGTACAGTAACATACTCTTTGATCAGATTCTCCCGGAAATTCTTCCATACACATTGCTCCCCTGGTCTTGTAACATGGGCATTGGTCAGCTTTGTTTCACATACGGTCGTCGTACAGTCGTTATTTTTGTTGCCGCATGCCATGCCAGAATTATACGCATTGCAGGTATTGAGATTACTTTGCCCGTCAACTGCAAAATTTAATTACACACAAAATTTAATTTGTCTAAAAATATTGTTTTTTTAGTTTGATATTCAATTTTTCAACTATTGTTTTAGTTACACACTTGGTACATGATTTTGAAGATTTTCAATTTCCCTATTTCGAATATCATGGCAGAGGCACTTTTGACACTCAATTTTTAATTAGTTTTTTTCTTCAAATTTATTCTTTTTATCATTGTCGAAGGCAACAGTTTTGATCCTTCTACTACTATCACAATAGTGCATGAAACTTGATTCTCCGCTCATTGTGGTAAAAGTAGAGTGGAATCACTCTACTTTTTTTTAGAGTGGAATCACTCGCCCATGGCTAGAGCGCCATACACTACAAAAAAACAGCGTTATAGTCACGGATTTTAGTCACGGATTTCGTCCGTGACTAGTTTAGTCACGGTCTAGTCACGGAGTTGTCACGGAATTTTTAAAAAAAAAATAGTCACGGTCAGGACCGTGACTATGACCGTGACTAAAGTTAGTCACGGTCGTGGACCGTGACTTAATTCCTCCGATAGGCCCATTTCCGTTTCCGGCGAAGTTTATTTGACTCCGACGACTTAGTCACGGCCAAAGCCGTGACTATGCCCGTGACTATAATTAAAATTTAATTTTTTTCAACTCCATTAGTTAATTCGCAACGGCATTATGTACGGATAATTGTAGTCACGGCCATATCCGTGACTAGTTCCGTGACTATGTTGATTAACACGTCATTTACACGTAATTAACACGTGTTGGACGCGTGTTGGACACGGTTTTGCTTAGTGACGGACAAATCCGTGACTAAGTCCGTGACTAAATTTTTTATATATGCAGGAGCAGCTCATTCATTCAACAGAACCACACCAATTCATTCCCAGTATATACAGTATCCGTAGATCGAAGGATGTAGTCTATCTTCTATCATTTTCCCTGTTTATGCAGATAAGGTATGTTATTTGAATTATAATTTTTATTTAGAATTAGTTGGTTCAATTTAAATTATTAAAACTATTAAATTAGTGAGGTTGTTAATTAATTAACAACATGTTTTAACTATAAGCGTAGTAATGTCATAAATTAGAATTAGTTAAACTTTTAGGTTTATAAATTAAAATAATTTAATTAAAATTAGTTAGATAAATGTGGTTTAAAACGTAATGATGTTTATGTTTAGTGAAATTAGTTCAAATAACGTACGTTAGTAATGTGTTCATTAAGTGAATTGTGAATTGTTATTGTGAATTGTGTATTGCTTATTAATTCAAATAACTTTATATACATGTTCAAATTATTGGGTTGAATTTGGTCATATTATTTAATTTAGTGAATTGTTAATTGTGTATTACTAATAAGATTAAATGTCATTAACGTAATAATTTAGTGTAGGTTTAAACGTAGGTTTACAAAAATAATTTAATTAAAATTCGTTTGCTAAACGTAGGTTTGAACGTAGCTATTGATGTGTTAATTAAGTTAAATTAGGTAGCTAAACGTAAGTTTAAACGTAGTGATGCATTAAAAGGGGACGGAATGAACTAGTTAAATTTAGTTAAATTTAACTAAATGAATTAGTTAGATTTAATTAAACGTATGTTTAATATAGTGAAATTATCTGCATTATTGTGCATTAGGGGACATATATTTTGTGCATAACTAAGATGTGAATTCTGTGCATTTCATTTAAAAAAAGTGAAAATTAGTTGATTATATTTAGTGAAATAAATTACTTAAAATTGTGTGCATTGCATTTCATCTAATTTTTTATTATAATATTCAGGCATAATGTATAAAAAAAATAGAAGTTGGATGTATGATAAAGATGCGGTATTGTACGGAATGCAATCAAATTTTCTCGAGGGAGTCGGAGAATTTATTGAATTTGCACTTGAACATCCGGCTTATATGAGTGGTGATAAAATAAGATGTCCATGTTCAAAGTGTAAAAATCTCAAATTTAAAGACCCACACGAAGTTGGGTATGATTTGTACGCGGTCGGTTTTGTTCCCAATTATTATAATTGGACTTCTCACGGCGAACCTTTGGATCCATCTGTTATACCACAAACGGTAGGTTCGTCTCGTTACGTCCCTCCAGAGATGAGTGCGTGGGGAGACCGTGCTGAAATGAGGTGGGACCAACAAATGGTATATGACGCATACGGTGTACCGTCTCAATTCAACCCCCCACAACCACCTAACGACCCCCCTGAAGCCTCAACCTCGTATCAACCAGATGCGGATGAAAATCCGACATTTTATCAACCTTATGTGGATGAAGGTTTGGCTGAGAGATTTCAGGATGTTCTAAAAGCTGTCGACCAACCTCTGTATGCTGATTGTGAGGGATACTCTCAGCTATCCGCTGTTACTGAGTTCATGAACATAAAAGCCGAATACAGTCTCCCTGAAACTTGCATGAATAGAGTCTTGCAGTCAGTAGGAGGGATGCTACCGCGAGATCATACCCTTCCCGATTCATATTACCACATGAAGCAGTTAATGTCTAAGTTGGGGCTACCTTGTGTTGAAATTGATGCGTGCCCGGAAGGATGTATGTTGTTCTAGAAGGAGGATGAGGCACTTGAGTTCTGCAAGTTCTGTGGTGGAGACAGATACAAACCTGTTCGTCAAAATAAAAAGAAACCACGACATAGGTCTGCACTGTCTAAACTGTATTACCTCCCAATAGCTCCTCGACTGCAAAGGATGTACGCTTCGACTGCTACTGCGAAACACATGACATGGCATGTTGAGCACGAAACCAACGAGGGTATGATGGCTCACCCTTCGGACTGTGAAGCCTGGAGACACTTTGACCGCTGTCATCCTCAGTTTGCTATGGAGCCACGAAATGTGCGGCTGGGATTGTGCTCAGATGGATTTGCTCCTTTTGGCAGGTTTGGCAAGAACTATTCATGTTGGCCGGTCATGTTAACACCTTACAATCTCCCTCCCGACATGTGCATGAAAAGTCATTTCATCTTTTTGTCTTTAATTTGTCCGGGTTCCAAGGATCCTGGGCGAAAGATAGACATTTATCTCCAACCCCTTATCGAGGACTTTGATTGTCACCGCAAGTTTCTCCCGGAAAGGCACCGATATCGAAAGGACAAGAAGTCTTTCATTAGAGGCAGAGCGGTTCGAGAGAGCCCACCCCCGAGATTGACCGGTGAAGAAATTTATAACCGGGTTCGACGTTTCCCTACGGCTATGGAAGAGCCAAACCAAGAGCCATATGGGTATTGTGATACCCATAAGTGGACAAAGAGGAGCATATTCTGGGAGTTGCCTTATTGGAAAAACCTTCTCATCCGTCACAATTTAGATGTCATGCACACCGAGAAGAACGTCTTTGACAATATATTTAACACGGTGATGGATTTGAAAGGCAAAACTAAAGACGGTCTTGCAGCTAGGAAAGATATGACTATTTGGTGTGATAGACCCGAACTTTCTGTTGATCTAGAATATCAGGGCAAGGAAGTTCCAAAAGCAGTCTACCAGGTCACAGAACCACAAAAGGCAGCAATATTAAAATGGCTTGCGTCTCAGAAGTTTCCAGATGGCTACTGCTCCAACTTGTCTAGATGCGTAGACATGAACAAACTTACCACGACGACGAGCATGAAAACTCACGATGCTCATGTAATAATGCAAAGACTTCTACCAATTGCACTAAAAGAGATGCTCCCTGAACACGTATGGTCCTGCATTACTGAAATCAGTTTGTTGTTTCAATCGATATGTTCCAGCGTTTTGGATGCGGCATCCCTCCGGAGACTACAAGAGTCTGTTCCCATTCTGATGTGTAATCTGGAAAAAATAATGCCACCATCGTTTTTCGATACAATGGAACATCTCATTATACATCTTCCGTATGAGGCTTTGACTGCTGGGCCCGTCTTCTATCGGTGGATGTACAGATTTGAAAGGTTAGTCACAATTTCATTTAAAAAAAGATTATTTATTTCACAATAACTATTAACATGTGTATTATTGCATTATTGCAGATTTCTAGGAGAGCTGAAAAAGAAAGTGACCAACAAGGCACACGTTGAGGCTTCAATTTGTCAAGCGTATCTTCAACAAGAAATCTCAACGTTCTCGTCTTTTTACTTCGAGCGTGAAGTCATCACCAGAAGGAAGAGACCTGCCCGGAACGATGATATTGGCGAGGATTTATATGAAAATGTAGTTTCCATCTTCAATTACCCAGGCAGAGGTAAAGGTGCTGCGACACAACGATACATCCTGGGTGGGGAATTGCAAATTGCGCATACTTATATCCTCATGAATTGTCCAGAAATCTCACCGTTTTATCAGTAAGTTAAATTTGTAGTTATAATTGTAATACTTATAAATTAAATTTGTAGTTAATTTATAGTTTTTTTTTTTTATTTTTGACTTCACAGTGAATTCCGAGCTTCTTTATCAGCCTTTCCTGAGAATGAAATAGATGCGTTGGTGGACTCTGATTTTGTAAATTGGTACAAGTATCAGGTATATATACACACACATTAATTATATATATTACCTAATGTTTACCTAATGTTATTATTATGTTTATATTTACAGATCAATAGTCGTGGGATTGTCGACCCTTTGTTAGTATCATTAGCGTGGGGCCCAGGTGCCAGTGCCAAAGTGTGGCGGCAATATGTGATAAACGGTTACACATATCACACAGCCGATTACGGAGAGGGCCGACCAACAACGAACAGCGGGTTATGTGTCCCGACCATCGGTTATGATAACTCGGAAACCAGTTTTTTTGGTGTCCTGCAGGAGATTCTGGAACTTGAGATGCCTTCTTGTGCGAAAAAATTGACATGCGTTCTGTTCCGTTGCACATGGGTCGACCCCACACGTGGCGTGCGCAAAAATCCGAAGTATAATATGATTGACGTCAACCTCTCTCGTGTGTACCCAAAAAATGAGCCTTTCATACTCGCCCAACAAGCAGCGCAGATTTATTATGCAGAATATCCTTCAACAAGGCGGACACAGAATCCTTGGGTGTGTGCATGTCCTGTCCGTCCGAACAAAATAAAATCACAAACTCAACACAAGGACGTTGATCTAGATGCTTTTCAGCAACAATTTTTCCAACCTCCGCCTATTGTTGAGACGGTCAACTATAACCTCCAATTAAGTGATCCAAATGGCGGACGTGTTGAAGTCATGCCAGAAACGCACCTTCCGGACCCAACCATTCCATCTGAGCGCGAAATTGAGGAAATGTATGTAGCACAACAAAATGCTCAATATCAGGAAGAAGGTGAATGGATAGACGGTTCAGATACAGAAGAAGATACTGTATATGTAGAAAATGACGATTCTGATAGCGAATAATTGTGCTGTTGTAATTTCAATTTTATTGACTTCTAATATTTGTGCAGATTTCTTCATCATTATATTACTCCAACAATATTTGAATTTTTTTCTATCTTTATCATTATTATTTATGAACAAAAAATTACTCCATATTAATTCAACCACAACAAGTTTTTTATATCCATATTATAAATTCAAAATAAAATTTTTCACAATTCGAAGTTTGAAAATTAAAATTTACCCAATACAAAATATGAAATTACTCTATATTATATTCTTTTATTTTCAAATTCGAAAATTCAAATATTATTTTTTATTTTTCTAAATTCGAAAATTTATTTTAATAATTTTTAATAATTCGAAATTCGAAAATTAATTTTAATAATTCTAAGTCTATTCGAAAATTAACAAAATTCGAAAATTAAAAAAACAGTAATCTACTTTTACTAATCTGAATATTATAATAAATTTAGATATTAATAAACAACTAACAGATATTTATTTATCAAATTTCAAAGATAAATACAAAACACACAATGAAATTGTCACATATTATTTATTAAACAACTAACATAGATTTATTTATTACATTAGCCTAACTAACATTATTCATTCCTCAATCGGAAACTTTCAAGAGGCCTAGCCCACAACTCCTGAATTTTCATTCGAGCTTCTTCGTTGATCGGGTCCATATACTCTGAAACTTCTTGTGCACGTTGAAGCATCCGACACAAATTTCTTGCTTTTGACTTGCCCAACGAGTCGGATTCTTCATCTTTATAATCGCCAAAACTTTCAAGGGGTCTAGACATCAACTCCTTGATTCTCTCGTATGCTTCCACGGTTTTCGGCTCCATAAGCTCTGTAATCAGCTTAAGTCGTTTCATATCTCTACACATCGAATCCCAGTCAATTGGACCTCTATTAGCCATTTTTTTTTACAGTTCAGTCTTGGGGCGGAGAAAGATTATTTATACTAAAAAAATTCAAGTTGTCACGGTCTTAGTCACGGTCAGGACCGTGACTAAACCCTTCGTAAATGCCGAAGTCAGTCCGCCGGTCAGAGCGGCGCTGACAATAATAGTCACGGTCAGAACCGTGACTATGACCGTGACTATTTTCAAATTTTGAAAATAGTCACGGTCATAGTCACGGTTCTGACCGTGACTATTCCGATTAAAGGCGTCTCTGACTGTCAACGCTGACATCGTCAATTACGAAGGGTTTAGTCACGGTCCTGACCGTGACTATGACCGTGACTAAACCCTTATATAAAATAACCACTTAGCGTTTTTTTAAAAAATCCTACGCACCCCAAACTCCCAAACCCTAAACAACCTCTTCCTTCTCTCTTCCCTCTCTTCCAGAGTTTAGATTGTCCCGCCGCCTAGCCGTCGCCGCCTCGCCGTCGCCGCCTAGCCGTCGCCGCCTAGCCGTCCGCCGTCAACGTCTAGTCGTCCGCCGTCGTCCTCCGGCCGCCTTCGTCCACCTTCTTCCGTCGCCCCTTCTTCAGTCAAGGTTATGTGTTCTGTTCATCTTATTTTGTAATATTTGATTAAACTTCCAAAAATGCATGATTGTATACTTAAATGAATGATAAGATGCATGATTTTTAGTTTCATATCATTTTGTAATCTTCAAAAGATGTATGTATGATTTATTATATGCATGATTTGTAGTTTTGCATGATTAATTGTTTTATATGTTTCGTATGCATGATTAATATATGTTCAAATGTAGATTATTTTATGTTTAATATATGTTCATATGCATGATTAATATATTATCGAACTAATGCGTGCTTATACAATTAGTATCATGTTAAACATATATGTTTAGTGTTTGATTTGCATGCCTCTCTATACATATGCACTACTTTAAAATTTATTTCCGAAAATATTTAATTTAGGTTAATATTTTAAAAAAAACTGTTTAAATAAATAGCCCCTCGTGTTAAATTTCCAAAAATAGTTTAACACGTTTAAATATAATTTCCGTAATATCCATTAACAAAATATTAAACATATAAATTTAATCCCGAAAAAAACTGGACGAAACATTGTTTTTATAATTTATCTAAAAAAATCTGTTTTTATAAAAACTGTTTTTATAAAAACTGTTTTAATATAAACTGTTTTTATAATTTATCGAAAAAAACTGTTTTTACAAAAATTGATATATATAAACTGTTTTATATAAAATGTTTTATTAAACAGATTTTTGTAAAAAACAGTTTTTATAAAAACTGTTTTAATAAAAAGTGTTTTTATAAAAACTGTGTTTATAAAAACTGTTTTTATACAAACTGTTTTTACATAAACTGTTTTTATAATTAATCTAATAAAAACTGTTTTTATAAAAACTGTTTTAATATAAACTGTTTTTATAATTTATCGAAAAAAACTGTTTTTACAAAAATTGATATATATAAACTGTTTTATATAAAATGTTTTATTAAACAGATTTTTGTAAAAAACAATTTTTATAAAAACTGTTTTAATAAAAAGTGTTTTTATGAAAACTGTTTTTATTAAAACTGTGTTTATAAAAACTGTTTTTATACAAACTGTTTTTATATAAACTGTTTTTAAAATTAATCTAATAAAAACTGTTTTAATAAAAACTGTTTTTAATAAAAACTGTTTTAATAACTGTTTTTATAAAACTGTTTTTAATAAAAACTGTATTTATAATAACTGTATTTATTAAAAAACAGTATTTATAAAAACTGTTTTTATAAAAACTGTTTTTAATAAAAACTGTTTTAATAACTGTTTTTATAAAACTGTTTTTAATAAAAACTGTATTTATAATAACTGTCTTTATTAAAAAACAGTATTTATAAAAACTGTTTTAATATAACGTGTTTTTATAAAAACTGTATTTATAATAACTGTTTTTATAAAAACTGTTTTAATAAAAACTGTTTTAATAACAATTGTTTTAAAAACTCTTTTATTAAACAGATTATTTTTAAAAATAGTTTTTTGTAAAACTTGATTTAACAAACTGTTTTAAATTTATTTTAAAATGATATAACTAAAACATAAAAAAATGATCTCCTCTCATGTAAACTTTGCAAAAAGTTTAACATGTTACCTCCAAGTGCAATTTATTACCAAATTATTTAAGAACTTATTATGAAAAAATATGGACCCCTCATATTAAACTAAAAATAGTTTAATATGCTATACACATTTTCAATTAATAATACTTGTATAAATTTTTATAGTAAAAAATAATAAATATACCCCAAACTTTAATGAACCTTTAGTAGGCACACCTCAAACTTTTATAAGCGTTCTAACAAAAAACAAAATAAATTAATATATTTTAGATGAGCAACGAACAATCGACCTCGGCTCCCCGCCCTAACTATGCGCCTATGTCCGAAGCGGAGCGCAACAATGATGGAGCTGTTTGGGTGACGCCTGCAGAAGTTCTTTTGTAAGTAGTTATGAAAAACCTTATTTTCAATAATTTTATATAATGTTAAATAATCAAACCAAATCTTATATAAATAAATACTATTAATTTTTTTAAGTGACGAACAAGTGTTCACGGGCATCAAAAGCATCATCGGAGGACACTTTCTTGGCACTTGGGCCACACTGTCAGATGTTGACCCCAAGGTTCGCGAACTATGGTGGAACCTGTTCAAGGTAAAAATAAATGAATGTTCCCTTCCTGATTGTATTGGCCTAATATATACCTGGTGATTAATTAATCCAATTTTTTTGAATAAAGGCTCGCTATCGTTGGACTCACGCACACGGTGCCGATATTCTTAAAGCCTACAATGCTAGGATTTCGACCTGGCTTCGCGCCACTTTTAAACGTGCGCGAAAAAGTGGGAAAAAGCCTAGATGGGTTTCGGATGAAGTGTGGTCCAGCCTTTGTCGCCACTGGTCTTCTGATCCGAAATTCTTGGCCAGAAGTGAATCCGGTAAGAAAAACCGGATGTCCGAGAAGGCCTTGGAGATGCAGTGGCACGGAGGTCGTAAATCTCAGAATGCCCATAAAGAAACTCTTGTAAGTGCTATTCAAAAAACCTTACAACATCACATTCCTTCATTATAAAAAATTTAATTAAGTCTTTTTCGCACCATTTAGGCTGGTCCTGAGAAGAAGAAGGTTGATGTTCTCCGGCTCGTCAAGCATTGCTGGACGAAGCACGGCGAGGAATCTGAAGCCGATTTGCCACCCCGCCTCGCTGACTTCGAAGTATGTAACATCATATTTTGTTATTTAGTAACATTTCAAATCTAACTATGTAGCATTTAAAAAATCTTTTTGAAAATGCAGACGAAGTACAACGAATCCCTCGACAGGCAGCGTGCGGCACGAGGCTTGACCCAGGAGGACGACCTCGATTCCGATGCGGATGATGAGGCGGCCATTGAGGCGGCCGGGGTTTACAAGGGCCGGGTTCCGTGCTTGGGGGCCGAGGGGCAACGGATTTTGTATGATCGAAGCACCGACGCTTCCTCTTCTCGGTCAAGGCGGGGAGAAGATCCCCGTATTGCCACAATGCAGCGTGAACTAGAGGAGCACGAACGGCGATGGGAGGAGCAGCGGAAAAGAGAGGAAGAAACAAAAGCCCGACTGGAGGAGATGGAACGGTACATGCGTGCCGGATTCCAGCTTCCGCAACAGCCTTTTCCTCCCCCGTATGTATTCCACCCTGAGCAAACTCCTCATGTTCCGCACATGGGCGGTATGGGATTTTTCCCCAACTCCGGATATGGTGGCATGCCTATGATCTCCCCGAATTTCGGTTCTATGTCCTTTGATTTTGCGAGGTCATCCGGAGGAGGTAGTGGCACACCGAGCCACGGAGGCCGAGGAGCACCCCGAGGAGGACCCCGAGGAGCACCCCGAGGAGGAACCCGACCTGACCTTGAAGACCCCCCCGTGAACCCGGATGAGTTTCTTGTTGATGATGAAGAAGAAGAAGAAGAAGAAGAAAATCCCAATTTTTATCATAATGGAGTCCCACGGGACATGTAATCATCATACATTTATTATTTGTTGTATTTCAAAACTTTTAAAAGTTTGTCACAATAATTATTGAATTTGTTGTATGTTTTTACTCTTATAATGTATTTATTTTAAAAAAAATAGTATAATATTTTCAATAACTCATTTTTCAAAAAACATTTTGAAATTTAATTTGTAAACTTCCGTTTTTAAAAAAGTAATTTTTAAAAAAATTTAAAAAAAAAAAACGAAAACTGGATTTTTTTTTTAAAAAAACAAAAAAAGTAGTCACGGGCTTATCCGTGACTATTATTAATCCGAAATTATTATTTTTTTAAATAAAAAACCAATTAGTCACGGTCGATACCCGTGACTAATTTCAAAAATTTAAATTACCGCCGCGGGCGGTCTTATAAAAATTTTGAAAATTTGAAATATTAGTCACGGTCCAAAGCCGTGACTACTAAAATTAATTTTTAAAAAAACTTAGTCACGGTCCATGACCGTGACTAATACGCCGGAGTGGGGTTCCGGCGGGTATTATAGTCACGGCCCCTGACCGTGACTAGTCCGTGACTAAATTTAGTCACGGTTCGTTGGACGTGACTTCAATTTAGTCACGCCCATTAAGTCACGGATTTAGTCACGGTCAGCGACCGTGACTACATCATTTAGTCACGGAAAAATTGAATTGCTGTCCGTGACTAATTCCGTGACTACGACCGTGTTTTTTTGTAGTGATACTAGGATCAACTCACCCCAAATTTTAAAATGTATTTCTAGTTTATGTATAAATTACTTGCAAAATTCAATATTCTTTTTTACTATATATATATGCCCTTGAGTGGAATGACTAAAGGCGCTGTTTTTATATGAGTTGAAGGACTTGAAATGAAAAATATCAAAACTAGGTAACAAATTTATCTATTTCGATCAATAGTCGAGAAACTAATATTACAAGTGTCATTGACACAACAATATTAGATCAGAAGTCTAATATTGTATGAAAAAACTCTATTAAATATGGTCTATCTTTTGACACATGCTATTAACATCTGGGGTTTATGGTTGGACATATGAATGATACATAAACGTTGAAATTTTGTTATATTTTTATAATGTAATCTTCTCAAATCAACATTTTCATCATTTAGTGATGTGATCATTCGATAGTAAAGAGATTTGCAATCTTAGTTCCGTAACTTTCGCTCCGAAAAGTAAACTTTCCGACAAAAATATACCAGGAAAGATGCTGCCACCGGCGTATTCTCTTCTAAAAGTATACTTTTTGGTGGAAAAAGTTCTCAAGTTGCAAAGATTTATTAGTTATCGGACCACATTTGCAAGTGAGTAAAGTTACCGAACTAATAAAGATAATATTCAAAAGTTATAGGACTAAAATTGCAAATATCCCTATATAGTATTACCCCGTCCCGACTTAAATTTTTCATGGAAAAATAGCACGATTGTTTAGGCAATAATTAAATAAGGTAAATTAAGCATATATTAGAGAAATAATTTTGATATGTATATACATATTGATCGAGGTCATTGATTATAACCGTAAATGTTATAAGTCTATTATATTTAACATTTGATGACTAAATTTTAGAATTTTTTTATTAAGTATTCAATTGATTTGAGTATGAGAAGGAAATTTAATTTGTAGAGGAGAATCCGACCAAGTACGAGCAGAAAGACTAGTTTGAAGAAATGAGCGCGTCTATTAAATTTCCACAATAATAAGCACCCAACTGTATTAATTAATTAATTGATCGAAGGAAGGAATACATGGAGGGGTGGGGCTGGGGGTGGGACAAATTCAAAAGCTAGCCATGCCATGGAATGGTACAAAGGAGAGTGAAAACGCACAAATATTGTAGTAGCCGCAGATTACTACTACTAATTAATTAATTCTCACGATATATATGATGTAAAAAATGTAGTAGCGTAGCGTTTTTAAGATAATTTGTATAGGAATAGGAATGTGATAAGGCCTAGGGTTGTGTGAGTTGGCTTTGGAAAGTGAATTGATGCCGCGGCATGTGGTGGAGATGCTCCCGGCGAGCAAGTTGGCGCTTGGTAAGCACACTCACATACTCTTTGCGGAGATCCGGGCGCCATTTGCGTGCAATTTCCTGCGGTAACCTCTGCTCCTGCAATATTGGCAGAGGTCATCCGTGTTTTACATATGTCCATACAGTTGTCACTGTCGCCGCATGGCTGGCCTGAATGATACGGAGAGCAGGCATTGAGAGTGCTGTTTTGGCCGTCAACTGCAAACAAATTACACAGATCGATTATTTGTCTATAAATAAAAGGGAAAAGGTGCAAATAGACCCATTTACTAACCAAAAAAGGTCAAATAAGCCCTTATTTAGAAAGTTCTGTCCGGCCGTCGTCATTTGGGGTGGTTCCCGGTGGATTTTTTTGATGAAATTTTTTGAGCATCTTATTCATCAAGTCTAGTTTTCTCTTACCGAATTTCAGCTAAAACTTCAATCGGGAAGGCATTCAAATGAATTCTTGAAGATAACTGCGCTTCTAACTGCGCAGTTGTTTTCAAGAATTCATTTGAATGCCTTCCCGATTGTAGTTTTAGCTGAAATTTGGTATGAGTAAGTTAGACTGGATGAATAAGATGTTCAAAAATTTCATCAAAAAATTCCACCGGGAACCACTTCAAATGGCGACGGCCGGACAGAGACTCCTAAATAAGGGCTTATTTGACCTTTTTTTGTTAGTACATGGGCCTATTTGCACCTTTTCCCTACATAAAAAATGCACAATTTGTGTGTGTCTAATCAACCCGAGTTTTTTCATTATGATCATTGTCCACTTTAGTTTTTCGTTATTCAATTTTTAGTTTTTGTTCGTATTTAGTCTTTTTTTTTGCAAGCTCGAATTAATTAGTCTTTTGATCATTGTCGAAAGTAACAATTTTGATCCTTCTACTATGATCGCAATAGTGAAACTTGATTCTCGGTTCGTTATGGTAAAAGTAGAGTGTTAAGATTAATTGCAAAATTCAATGTTCTTTTTTACTATATACGCCCTTGATGAGTGGAATGACTAAAGGCGCTATTTTTATAGATGTTGAAGGGTTTGAAATGAAAAATATCAAAACTAGGTAACAAATTTATCTATTTCAATAGTCGAGTACATACTCGAGTGACTAATATTACAAGTGTCATTGACACAAACATAAAAGCTTAATATAAATATGTACCTGAAACGAGAGCAATTAGGAGGACAAGGAAGAATATGTTTTTGGAAAGCTGCCTCATTTTTGCAATACTTATGTTTCACTCCAAATATTTGGTGCACTACACTTCTATGCATTCAGTTCGATGTGTCCGATATTTATATTGCCAAAATTAAAATGATGAAAAGGTGTATCTGCCTGTGTTTTCCCGTTTCCGACATATATATGAAGGAATTCAAAAATAAACAAAAAAGCAAGAAAAAAGCAATAAAGAAAAGGGGAAAATTCCCAACAAAGTTGATTAAAAAGGCGTGTTATCCGCGACAACTGGCTTGGAGGATATATGAATAGTTCGTATTTCATATTTTATTGCATATTTCTAGATAATCTTCTATAGATAATACATTTGAAGGTTACAATTAGGGAAAGTTTTGCCATGTGTCGTCTTCTAAGCAATTATTGATTATAATATCTTAGATTCTCTTTCCAATTTAACACTCCGTATATTAGTATTTTTTGACCGTAATCATTAATTTAACTAATCAATTAATTATCTACTACCGATCAATTGAGTATTTAAGTTAGAGTCGAACTCATCTTAAATTAAATTAGAAATTTAGAACTAACATATATGTTGGAATCCTAAAGCTACATAATTCACAAAATAAAATCCCATATTAATTTTAAATGATTATAACTTTTTTATTTGTACTCTGATTGTTACAAAACATATATCATAATCCATAACTTTTTATTACCTTTCATATGAGACCAATATTGAATATATAAAAACAACAAAATTAATTTACCACTTTAAAAAATATTTGTTTTTTAGTGTTATAACTTTTGTTATACTTTGATTGTTAAAAATATACGAAGTATGTTCATAAATTTTTATCAGCTTTCATATGACACCAATGTTGTATATATAACATAATACTATAATAAATTATTATTTTTTATTAATTTTTGCAATTTAGGACCATTTTTAACAGTGCACACGATTAATTAGGAGTGATGCCTTAGAATAAAACCACACAAACTCCATCACTGTTATTTATTGTGTTATTCTTTCCGATAGATTTTGTGCAATTTTATTTGAAGCTATCGCTCCGATTAACTTTGTGCATTGTGAAAATGATACTACATTTGTCCCTAAAAAGATCATCCAATTGCGGGTTACAAAGATTTATCAGTGATAAAGTTAAATGATCCATGTAAAAGTTCATATTATTTTTAGTAAATAAAAATTACATATTCGGATACTACATTAAAACCGCGACAAAACCTACAAAAAATAATTTATTTTTCATAAAATTTTGATATAGTAAGTAAAATATTAAGAGTGATTTAAGTTGACACTCGAAAAGCGAAGTGGAAGATCTTCATGGACGGAGAGAGTAGTAAATTGCACAAATTGATAGATTTTAAAAAACGATAATAAAAAGATATTATAAATTAACTTTATGTATATGTATTCCAAATGTAAAAACACGTATAACAGTTTTAAAATCTTATTTATATAATATTAAATTAAAATTAACATGAGATTTTTCTATGTTGGGGCCCGATGAATTCTAATGAAACACGACAAAATTTCCATAATTTATAATTGCATTTGAAAATTTTAGAAATAATGCATATATGGAGTGATATGTTATGAGTAATAAAAAGCTATTATATATTAAATTTAGCTATATGTTTAAAAAAAAATAACTTTAGCTATGTGTACTCAAAATCTATGACAGTTTTTAAAGTTTTATTTTATATACTTTTTTCCAATAATTTTATGTTTACTTTTTCCATAATTAACAATTATGGAAATTTTATCGAGTTCGATTAGAATTCAACAAAGTTCTATACTTAATTTATGTAACAAAAATTCAATATTCAAACGGGCTCATAGATTAGAGTTATGCTTGGCACTTCGAAATGTAGGTAGATGCTAATGTCTAAATTGAAGGCTATTGTTTTAACTGGAAACTATTGTATAGAGTTGAATTTTGAAGTGTTGAATCTGAACTGTTAGTTGGATGAGAGAAATTTGTTTGACAAAAAGAGTTAAAAAATGCTCAGGCATACAATCTGACCTGGCCAGATCAGATCATATACAGATCAAACCAAATCTAATCAGAACAGACAAATCAAACAAAAAGTTCAGTCTAATTAATATTGTTTCATGGACTCCTTCCTAAAATTTATAACTTTATATATAACAAATTCGAATTCAATAAATCTCCTGAACTTATGCATAAGTAAAATCTAGAGTGAAGTAGCGTACTATGAAGTTATATAATCACCATACAAGCAGAAGTGAGATAGACATATAAAATTATATTAGCTTATTATGGAATTAAACATACATATTTTAAAAGTATTCATGAGTAAATATTTATTTTTCACCAATGAGATGATGACACATGATTAATTCGGAACTAAAATGCAAAAAGGGCCTTTAAAAATCAAACGGGAAACCTCAAAAACTAATTTCTTGATAACGATCTAATTTCGCAAAATAAATCATAAAAACATTTCAAAATCATGAATATAAATTTTAGTCGTGTATGAATTTATGCAATGAATTTTATAACTTTATTCAAATAATATTAGAAATACAATTAAAATTTATGGAAATTTTGTCTTGTTTGATTAGAATTCAACAAAGCTTTATACATTATTTATGTAACAAATATTCAATATCCAAGCGGGCTTAGAGTTATGTTTGGCACTTCAAAATGTAGGTGGATGTTAATGTTTGAATTAAAGATTGTTGTTTGAACCGGAGACTATTATCTAAAGATGAATTTTGAAATGTTGCATCTGAAGTGTTAGTTGGATGAGCTAATTTTGTTTGGCAAAAACAGTTAAAAATGCTCAGAAATATGACCCGACTAGATCAGACCAAATCCGATCAGAACTGACAAATTAGACAAAAAAATCAATGTAATTAAAAATGTTTTTGATGAATTCCTTCCTAAAATTTAGAACATTGTATATATGAGATTAAAATTTAAGAAATCTTCTGAAAGTTTTTATGATTAAAATTTGGAGTTAATTAGCTTAATATGGAGTTATATAATCATTATACAAACATAAGCGATCGAGATAGACATATAAATTTAAATTATCTTATTATAGATTTAATCATTCATATTTTAAAAATATTCGTGAGTATAATACAATAATATCGAAGATACACATTATGCGTGTAGTGTATTTAAAAAAAAAAAACATTATGCGTGTAGTGACAAACCCTGATGGATCTTAGTGACTCTTGAAGATGTAATTGATGCATGATAGAACAAAATAATATCGCATCCTAATAGATCCCGAGGCGGCCCTGGGAGAAAGGGGGGCGGGTGCCCTAGACCAAAAAATGGGTAGAAAGTAGGCCCGATTTTAATTCTTTGTAATTGATGTGAGGAAGCTGATTTCAGTCCTGAACTAACAATTTTTTTGGGTGAAATTTGTTAATGTTTTTCGCAATGGATTATTTTAATGAAAACTTATGATCACATTCTCAATGAAGTCTAGATGATGTAAAAAAGAATCATTTTAAAGTTTAATTTAGAAATCAATTAAATAAATTATTGAAAAACACTGCATTTTTATACATATTTCGCACATTGTTTTTCAATAATTTATTTAGCTGATTCACGATTGAATTTTAAAATTCTATGCACATAATCTACACTTGATGAAAACATTTTCTTAAAAAAAATTATTAAAAAATTCAATCAAAAAACTATTAGTTTATGACTGAAAAATCATACTCCCTCCGTCCCCTTTTAAATGTCCCCTTTTACCATATTGGAGTGTCCCTATTTAATTGTCACATAACTTATTTGAAAAGTTTGTGTGGCTCAAAATCATTATTATTTTATTCTTACTTTATCAAGTCTCATAATTTATTTGGTAAAGTTTGAGTGTCTCATAACATCTTTTAAGCACACCTAAATTATTTCAATAAAATTGTTTAAAAATATTTCTAATAACTTCAATATTATTCCTAAAATAAAAAGAAGAGTGAAGTATCATAAAATGAAAGTGGAAAAATTAAAATAGCAAGACTGTATGTGTTAAAATTTACTAAATATAAATTTGTCTTAAGCTATTTCAAGTTATGTCCACCTTTCTAATTAAGGATATTTTCAATTGAAATCAATTTTTTTATCTCACTTATGAAAATTAACATTATTTTTACTTGAGTGTATATATTAATTTAATCTTGATATATTTTGACCGAAAATTACATTTCAAGTCTTGGAAAGTTTTATTATAAATTACAATCATATCATGAGACTAAAACTATTGTTTAAGAACTAGATAAATAAACTAGATCGTATATAAAAGGTACATAGTAATCATTTGGTCGTGCATATTGAGATCATTTTTCATTGCTGCATATGAGACATTTGTCTTTTTTATTTCATTGCATAATTTGACATGCTTATGTTTCGATTATAGCCACATCTTGATGTGATGAGATTCTTTTTATAGGATTTATTCATCTTATCTTCTATAATACAATTGTCTATTGAAAGTCTAAAACATGATTTTTTTTTCATTCAATAACACTTATTTTACTTAATAAGATCATTGAAACCTTCAATAACTCAACCTAACGAAAAATAAATTGATCGCTTTCAATTACAATATGCAATCCATTGTCGCCATCATCCCATTCATTAAAATCGGAATGCCACAAAACTATATATTCTAAACTCTTTTCTTAAAAAAGAAATTAGAAGACTAATTTGATAATTTCTAAAACATAGTAGGGCTAATATCTTTAAAAATTTGACTTGACTCTTTTTTAAATAAATAAGTTACAAAAATGTGTAGTTAGTTTTGAAAAAAACAGTAAGCCACGAATTAGATTTAATGGATAAATATAGCCATTGAACATTTTAAATCAATGATATAATCGACTAAATAACTAATTTTTCTTTAGTAAAACTAAATAAAAAAATCATTTTGTCCCGTGCACAGCACGGGTAAAGATACTAGTTTTATATAAATTTGTAGATGTCTTAAATTCTCAATAGAGTTTGATCTAAATATTACTAGTAATAAAATATGGATAATGGATAAAAATTGATCTTTTTTTAATTTTAAAAATGTGATCAATAAGCACTAAACTTACTAAATTACCTCTAAATTTTAGTGACTTTATTCGATAGTCAAATGACCCACCACAGTGACATACGCCGCACTAACCACACCCACCCAGTAACCGCCAAGGCCACAGTGACACAGTGACTC